CCCCCCCCCCCCCCCGGCAGAAGGGAAGACCTTCATGATGTGTACCCTGTGAGTGTTTTCCTAATAAACTCCTGACATCCATTTGAATGGGTCCTGTGGATTTGCCTTTATAGTCTACATGCTGGGCCCTTACCACCAATTACTAACTAAGAAAATGCCCTCCAGGCTTCCCTGATCTCAATTTTCCTAATTGAGGTTCCCTCCTCTCAAAAAAAAAAAAAAAAAAAAAAAAAAAACTTTAGTTTGTGCCGTTGACATAAATCTATCTAGCACAATGGTTTTGAATAAAATTTGTGTTCTGTCGTGTTCTGTTTGAAATGAGATCTCATTTAGTGCAGGCTGTCCTTGAACTCCTGATCCTTCTGCCTCTTCTTCCTCAGAGCTGGATACAAGAATGTGCCTCCACACCTGGCAGGATTTTTTAATAACTTTTATAGCAGATATTTAAACAAGGTGTGGTTTTTCAGTCCATTCTCTGTGACTTCATGGCTATATAACCTTGGATGACTTAAACCTCCAGATACAAAATAGATGCAACTGGACTGAGGAGTTGTCAGTGCGACACACATATGTAAAGTGCCTAGCCAGCAGCAGGCAGATTCAGTGAGCTTCATTTGGCTACCTAGGTCCATGAAGTTTATGTGTGCTGGGGGCGCCCACACTTGTGTGACCTCGGTGTTCTTCTGCTAACCATCTGCATTCATTGTCTATGCACACAGGCCAGAAGGACCTCCCAACCGAGAAAAGGCACACCTGGAATGCTTCATTTCTCAATTCTCAAATTCAAACAGTTACCAAAAGAAGAGATGCCATGACACACCGCATACTGTCAGCCCGACTTCATAAGATTAAAGAGCTGAAGAATGAGCTAGCCGACACACGCCGGAAGCTGGAAGCCACTGCCACAGAGAACCAAATCCTGAAGCAGCTTCAGCTCAGGCATGCAAAAGCCATCGGGAGATACGTGAGCTCACAAGACAGCCTGCCGCAGGTCACAGTTAGACACCAGAATGAGGTGAGAAGCCTGCGGCAGCTCCTTCGGAAATCCCAGGAGAAGGAGCGAGCTGTGGCGAGGAAGCTCCGAGAGACTGACAGTGAGCTGCTGAGGACTAGAGATGCCTTGCAGGCCCTACAGAAACTTTCAGAAGACAAGAGCCTTGCGGAAAGAGAAGAACTGACTCACAGGTTGACTGTTCTGACAGCCAAAATGGAGGCAAATGACAAAAAAATACAGGTTTGTATCTCAGAAGGTCCGGTATTGATAGAGAGGGTGCACGTAATTCAATCCACGGGCTGTGAGCCAGCTCACCCGGAAGTGATTGTGTTTAGTGTCGAGTGGGGGGAGGGAGGCAGAGCTGGAAAGAGGAGCACCGGTCTCAGAGCTGAGCATCGGCTCTCTCTAGCCAGGCTGTGTCTGGAAACAACTGGTCTGACAGCCACACTCGGTACCAGTGTGAAGCAGAGGCCTTCTTGTGCTGTGAGAGTCGCCTTTTGAAATGAACGCCTGCGTTCAGCTCCTGCTGAAAGGCTGCCCCCCCTTGCAGAGCATTCTTTCTGTCTGTCTGTCTATCTGTCTGTCTGTCTGTCTGTCTGTCTAGCTCCCTTTGCTTTTTGTCTCTCCTCAGTCTGACAGATTATAGACTTGTTTCCACATAAACAGTTTTAGTTATTTCAAAATCATGTTTCTCAGGGAAGAAGGAAACGGCAGGGAGAGTAACAGAGAGGAGGGGAAGGGGAGAGGGGAGAGGAGAAAGTGAAGGAGGGATGGAGAGAGGGAGGGGAGAAGGGAAGGAATGGAATGAAAATAACTGGAGAGATGGATGGAAAGCCAGGGGATGTCACCGAAAGGGACACTAATCACACAGAGTCCTGCCTGCTTACACGACCCTTGTGGACATAAACACAGATGGAGTTGACGTACTGTTAATTCTTCGATACTTAATGGTGACAAACACTTTCTTTGATAAGAATTAGGTTGTTGCCGGGCGATGGTGGCGCACGCCTTTAATCCCAGCACTCAGGAGGCAGAGGCAGGCGGATCTCTGTGAGTTCGAGACCAGCCTGGTCTACAGAGCTAGTTCCAGGACAGGCTCCAAAGCCACAGCGAAACCCTGTCTCGAA